GACGATAATCAGGGACCTACGTTCTTCAAAGGCCATCCTGCTAATCTCAGTTATCTTAGCTGCGGTACGACTCGCGGCGATAGTACACAGCCCTGCGCGGCTGTATATGTCCTGTCCTCCTTCGATGGGCTGTAGGACCAAGCAGTGTATCTTATTGTTTTGTTCGAACTCGTCTTTCCCTGTCTGCAGTGATGTTTCCCACGACGCCTTGCACATCTCGCTATCGCTATCGTATACACCATGTTGTACGCATACGGGTAGACAAACCCAGGCTATCTCAGCTGATCGATCGGGATCCCCGACGTCGAGATACAAGTCCTTGATATTATTCTGAAAGCGAGTTCCGTTTCTGGTCAGAGCTAGCCCGGAGTGTTTGGACCCATCTTCCACCATTTGTAATAAAATGCCAGACAACCTCAACGACGCTTTCGACGTTGCCCCAAACGGATAATTCTCACAGGTTTTTGGATCCACAATATCAAGGATATCGATCAGTGGAGATGAAGAGAGAAAACGCACATATGGACCGTCCGATACGATTTGTGTGTATTCCACTTCGCAATGGACTGAAGCCCATGACCACGACGGTGCGCTAGCTGATCTAATCACAGGCGTAGAAACATAATCTGCTATACGCCACAGGAGACCATGGATTATATCGCGCCTCCACAATCCTGCGTGGTAGCTATCGTTTGCTATCATTCCAAATCTCTGTGCGATTCCAGCTATCGCAGGTAGCCTATCTTCATTGTATGTCAGACTTCGGGATGTAAAGTTTCCAACTACGTTGTACCAGCAGGTATAGATATCGAATTTTCGGCTTTTCGGCATCAATGACGTTATGCCATTGATTATACAATGGATAAGGCGAAGATTGTCAGCTGAGATGTCCGGACTGTGCGGTGTTCCCAGCGGATATTTTTCATTGGTCGATAGTGTTGGGCAACGCCAGACGAGATGGTTTTTCGAGAATATGATAGAGCGGCGAGACAAGGCCTGTTCCTGAAGAACCCAGGCTCTTTGAACCAAAGGATGGCTCTGATCAAGGTCTCCTTGATCCCCAAGTAGCCCTTCAACTAACGTTGGGTATCGAGAAAGGTAACATGCCTGTCCGAACAGGATAATTGGACAAGGCCAAGAGAATAGACCAAAGCGCTCTCTGAAACATCCCTGCGTGGAGTTTGCTGCTGCCAACGCGAAAATGGTCAACCTCGAGTTACCGTACACATGTCCCATTTTCGGTGCTTCTTTTGCCCAGTCTTCTTGCGATTCTTGCTCTTGGATGATACATAGAGAGTCGATCCATAAATATTCTATGCCTATCTCCCTGCAGACTTGAACGGCATGTTGAAATGTTTTCGGCAATTCTTCGTCCTCGATGCCTTGCTGTCGACAAGCAAGAGTCTGATCAGTGGTCGACAATGGTCGATGGTTGGAATCTCCCCAGCAATGGCTTAGAGTGGCGTAGTGACCGTTCTTCTCTTTCCCAGACACAAGATAGCATTTGTTAGATCCCTTCTTCCCTACCACTATCACTCTCGTTGGCAGAGGTGGAGGCTGAGAATTGGCCTGGGAGCATGCTGGATGCGAAGATGTACATATGTCCAACCAGGCCTTGATCCTGGAAAAACTTGCTGACGAGCCAGTATTAGTGTCGCTGCCTGTAGGAAGACATGTTTCTGGAAGTGCTTGGAGATTGGCTGTGTCATTGATTAACCGTGAGAAGCTGGGGACGTCTTGAGAATAAAGAGCGCTCACTTTCCTTAGGTGTACAAATCAGTCGTCCAACCATACCAGGCGGCAAGTTGCCACATAGTATGGTGATTCGGACTTCATCTACTTCGACACCACTCAAAGAGGTTGTCTCCAATTCCCTCTTGAATCTGAGTGTGATGTCGCCATTCAAGGAAACCGACTCTCCGTATATTCTACCAACCCATTCGCCCGTGGGATCTTGGTCCAAGCGATAGGTTTCCTCCCACGCTATCAACAACAATCCGCAAAGATGGCAACCTCCACGTGCACTCTCGATTAGAACACTAACCGAGCGGTGATGTTTCACAATGACCTCGTGGAAGTTGTTGATGCTATCCCAGAGCGTGCTCTCCAGGTGGCCGAGGCTCATACAAGTAGAACAGAGTCTGTCGCTTCCTGAGCGGTCTAGTATTTGAAATTGACCGTCACCGAAGCAGGCTGGTCGAGTTTGTTCAGTATCAGGGGGATAAATCCATTCTTCGCTCTCGCAACCTTCACTCTCGGGACTCGTACTACCTGACATTACTTCCAAAGAAGTCTGGGTTCTTAGGGCCTGACGCTCTAAAGCCAAGTATGCCTGTTTTATTGTGTAGAGCTCTGCCAGTGGAGATAATTAGCGACCTCGTGTTTGGGCAAAAACGATTATGCAGGCGGATAAATAGTTTCGATACAAGAGAGCTGAACGAGCTTGGTGAAGGACAGGTTGGAAAAAGTGACCAGAGGCTGGAAGTTTGGAGAATCATGCAGCTGGCGAAGCGCGGCTGCACAAAGATTTGGAGGTGGATGGGCTTGGATGAAGTGGCTGTATTGCGGGGCAGTGCATACTGACCGGTTAAACATCTGCAGCGAATTGGACGCAATGCATGAAGGATCGCAAACCCCTTTGAAGCGCCTCTGCCTAGTTACTGCAACGCATTATAAACGCTCACAACTTATTGAAGAAATGAACTTACAGCTTTCGTGATGCTTGAAGCAACTGGTAAGAAATTCGGCATTGCTATCACCGTCACAAACCTAGACCTAATCATCACAATCGTCATTACCTGTCTCCAATCGCGAAACAGAAGCCATGTACTCCATATCTTTGCCATCTGCGAATGCTCATCCAGGACGCCAGCATACCACATCTCCGGCAGCGGTGGTCAAGACTTTGTTTTCGCCATCTCTGGTGACGAAATGACGAGGTCAAGCATATCATCTCCTCCGTACACGATACTCGGATTCAAAAATGTCAACAAAGGTCCGGACATGGGGACTTATCTGCGACAAGCGGGTGATCAAGGTGGATGCATGGCTTCATCAACGCACAATAATCCTCACGACAGCTTGACGAATATGGTCTTTTCGAGCAAACCCCTGAAACAGAACTATATCAAGTTCGACATATTCGATAAGACCGATGCTACCGTACTGGCTATTGGGACGACGGCACCTTCCAATAGCCGTATGGCAAACATGGTAACTGCAAGGCTTTGCTACGACAAAATCAAGTTCTTCCCTTCGTAGACTTGTTTCAAGTAGATCCAAAGCAGGATGTCCCGATGGAGCTGGTGTTCACGGAGAGCGATCGTGGTACTAACGCGCTGATATGAGATCTAACGGCTGCGTGAATAGCAACCGGACCCAACTTCTTCACTATCGTCGTACGAGATGACGTAGGAACGTGGCTTTTGATAGTCTTGTTTCTCAAATACCCGTAGTTCATGCGCTTGTACCTGCCATTCTCCCGATGTGCAAGGCGTAGTCGTCTTTAGAAAAATTGTTTAGATTGCGATAGTCGTTGGTTCCTGGCCTAAAACTAACGGTACCATGGGATCGCTTATCGAAATAGTCTTTGGCGCTGCGACAGTAGTATTCTCTCCTGGGTGACGTGAAAATGACGGAAATATGACGGGAAAGACGGGAAGAGCGTATTGATTTATGGCGAAGAAGAAAAGAAGATAATCAGCGTGGAGAGACAGATTGTGAAACCTGGAGCTGACGATCAGGGTGTGCTGAGAGTGTCGGTCAGGATAGGCCACAAGGCGAGCCTGGCCGAGGTATAAAAGTCAGAGATAAGCGCCGAACGCTTGCCGTCTGCGCCAGCGTACCGCGAACCCGAGCCGTGGGATAGCGGATAGGTGATCATCAGGACGGGAAGACTTCCAAGGTTCCACGCACGCGTGAACACATGTTATGACTGTGCATGCAGCAGCAGAACTAGTCTTCTGGACCCCTAAGACAAGCCGATAGCATAAGGCGCAACGCTGGAGGACGCAGCTCACAGCCCGTCATGTCTTGAACCCAAATAAAAATTGACTTAGCGCCCGATGCTGACTCGGTGGAGGGGGCCCTACGTGTTGTGCAAGGGACCGCGGCGTGTCATGCTGGTGGAGACCAGCCGGTCAGGCTGATGTGGAAGAAGCAGAAACGTGGTGGTGTCGCAATTCTAGGCTCGGGGAAAGCTGCGCGGAATACTCAGCTGAAGCAAAAAAGCACGCAGGGTGGAGTGGACTCTGTGGACTCAGTGGAGCGCGGCACAGTGGCATGCGGACGACGGATCGCTTGCAGAGGTGTAGGGGTCAGCTATGCTGAAAGAGGCTGATGGGCCCTCTTCTAGGGCATGTTAGCGGGATCTGGAACATGAATAGACTGTGAGGGGGAATCCTTGCAGAACCAACAACTGCAGGGCAGCTGATAGCAGCAAGTGATGCTGCTTAACTCTATCATGCCACCGCGCCGTGGGTGCCCGCTAGGAGCTGGCCTCGCCGTGCAGTTATCTACTCCGTCAGCGTCCATTCGCGCACTTGCGCACAGTCGTTCTTGCCCTCTCCCCGTCAGACGCCAGTCGCACCTTCCTCGGTGACATCCGCAATTCATTTAACAGCAGGCGCACCCCTGTCGCAAACTTCCCGATATACCCAACGCGTCGCCCACTCTTTCTTCCGCGTCCTCTGCTGCTGTGGCGTCATCTCTACAGCGACGTCAAGCTTTGTTCGTTTGTTCGACTTGCTTTTTGCTGGCGAGAACAAATCACTGTTACACATTCAGTCCGGGGATTCCGTCGTCAAACAACTACCGCAAGCCACCCGTCAATGGCGTCTTCTCGATCTCGATAGCTCCACGAATTGCTTTCTCATCGCACGCCGTCGCTTCCAAATACGACTCTGGCGATCGACCACCTTTACTAAAACCTGTGCCCATCTCGTCGAATTTCCCCTGCAGACGCCTGCATCAATTCACCCCCACATCACCAGCCTTCGATAATGGAGTCTACCACTCGACACACGTCTCAAAGACGAACAACACGACCTCGGTCGACAAATCCGTCGCCAGCAACATCGACATATGGATACCACAACACTTACCACACTCATGCGCAACTTCCCATTGGGTCACCGCCTTCGTATGCCCGAGCCATTGATCCCCAGACCCGCCTCATCCTCGATGAGAGGACGAGGACAGAGAAGGAGGCAGTCCGCAGCACACAATTACCACCGCCATATACCTGCACAGTCCACATAGAGGGGCTTGTCGGGGTAAAGCAAGAGCTCTCGTCACCATTTCAAGTTTCGGGACATCGTGAGTGGAATGATGTTTACGCCATACTTCGAGGCACGCAATTGAGCATACACCGTGTAAAGTACCCGGGACTCCTCAGCAAAAGCAAAGAGCCATGTGCAGGACGATTAATACGAACCTATTCTTTACAGCACGCTGAAGTCGGCGTGGCCTCCGATTTCAAAAAGACGTCGCTGACACCAAAATCCCCTTTTGCGCACTTGGTTCCCGCTGTTGCTCGGCCCAAACTATACGAGACGGATCCACATCTTTTCGAGCCTGTACGGGAACATGCCATCCGGCTGCGCCTGGAGTTTGAGCAATTTCTGCTTTGTCCATCGAGCGAGGAAGGCATGCTCGACTGGGTAGAATCGTTTTGCGCCGCCATCGACATCAGCTCACCTCTAGAAGACCGCAGCGAGCCCCGCTACCGAAGTCTTCCTCGCAGGGGCAGACGACAACGCATCTTGGAAAACGCGCAGTTTGGAGAGAACCTCGAGAGCCTGACAAGTCTAGAAGCCGGTCGACGCATCATTGCACAACAGGAGCAGATTATCCGCCAACTTTACCCACATCTGGCTGGAACCCGGGAACCAGGTATCAGCCACACAGCTCCTACGGCTGATCTAGAACTCGACGATTTCGACCCGGAGGATGTCCGCTTTCCCACGCGAATTGCGAGAGATTCGCTAGCCCGCGTTTCTTCGCACGATTACGAGCAAGGCGACGACGAACGTCCTGAAAGTGGCTTATCGTCTGATCCCAAGTCCACGTGTGCGCCACGGCCTTCGTCTGCGCAGACCCTGCGCTACCGTCGCCGTTGCGCCCCAGTGTTGCTTGCTTCTTCCCCACGTGTTAGCGATGTAGTCTTTGGCAAAGGCCAACGCTTCCGCATTAGCGTCAAGGCTCACATGCTCGTCGACTATACCCCGCACCCACCTCGGTACGACGTTCACGGCTTTGCGAAATCCAAGCGCCCTGCAAGGATCGCAACGGATCACCACTCTTCAACGGCTGCCGCAGACAAGACTGTATCTACGACTGTCTTGCCGGAAAGGCCCAGCTCGCCTCTTCGTGGTGTCAGCGATGATTCCATCACTTCCATCACTTTTGGCGAAGACCTTGGCCCTGTTCGCTCAAAGTCGACTAGTGATGCTACGGGCCCGTCAGGCCCACCATCGCCGTCTGGCATGTCGCAAACGAAAGTCGATGCTGCGCGCCAACTGGAGACGATGGGAAAGCGTCGACCGAGCGAGGATAGCCGCGAGACAGGCTTGAGCGTTACCTTTGGTGCTGGCTTGATGATTTGATCATTTTCTTTACACATTCCGTTCATCTATTTTCCTTTGTTGTACTGCATTGCATGGCGTCAGTTGAGCGCTTTTTCTTTGGTTTACTGGCGTTACTACTATCTTTTTCTTTGTTTGAGCATCAGTACTGGTGTCACATGCCAGGAAGGAGGATATACCCATTTTATCTTGTATGGAGTATAGCAAGACGGATCTGCATTGGGTTGGAAACGTGTTAGTCGGAGGAATGGCGCCGGATGTATATAGCCTTATGTTAACACCCAACATACTCCTCAATATGCATAACACATTAATTTATTACCTTGAATCAGCGTTTCTTGCTCATCCTTACACCAAGCATGGTGCGCGGTGTGATTCCGTTGCAGTTTCCAACGTAAGCAAAGGCGCGGACCTTGCACACCCCGGACATCGCGACTTGTCGAGCGGTGTTGATTGGTAAACGTGCATGGCTTGCCTAACTTGTACTTGGCATTCTTATTCAGTACCTCTAATGCATGTACTCTCTATCCTCTTTCCTGATTCGTCTTTCCGGTTTCCAATACAGGACGTATCTACGCGACGATTGGTAAACTGCAAGGATATAGGATAGACAGGCCGGAGTTATCTTGCTGACATACATCTATGTAGTGAGGGGGAATCTGTGTAAGACGAGCGGACATATCGAAGTGTGTTTTTGATTTAAATATGAGTATCAGCACAAAAGAACAAAACACTTCCCAATACCATCAGCCTCATCCAAACCTTTGTACAAATACACTCCATCTCTCAACATTACCCACTCACAACACCTCGACTTGAAACCAACCACTCATCCTACCTAACCACTTT